ATGTCTAACACAAGTTTGTTCAAATAAAAGCCTCGAAGGTTGAAAATTGGCCCTGCCAGAAAGGGGGGAAGGAGAATCATTGTTGTTTCATTATTATGTGTGTAGTAAAAAACTTAACATTGGTGAAAATAAAAACTTAACATTGTGAAACATCTTGCTAATGAAGTTGTCTTCCAAGTTTGTTCAAATAAAAGCCCTGGGTTTAAACTGGCCCCGCTCCGGGGCCCTATATAAAGGTGAGCGACCTCAGGGCAATCATGACCCTCTTGTTTATTTTTATTATTATTATTTTTTATAACAAAATCATGAATTCTTAGAATTTAAAATGGCAAGCACATTATCTTGTCCTGTGGCTGTCCTATATTCTACAGTATATTCAAATTTAAACAGCATTCTTATTTCAATGTTGCTTTCAGATGATGTCATAAATTCATAATACAGTACATGTATAAACAAGCTGTATGAAAAACCTTTATATTATAAACTTAAGCATTTTGGAGGTGAATGTTTTCAAGTTCTAAACTAAGATTATTACAGTTGTTTTTCAGTACAAAAAAGATTTGCTAAATTAGTCTGACAAATAATATATCATTTGCCATAATATCTAAAAGGAAGGCCTATTTTAATGTCAAAAAAATAAAGCTATTTATTCTAAACATACACCTGTTATTATTGGTCAAGTATCATGCTTCAACAAAAATAATAAGTACAGTTGGTAAAATTTCAATGTCCGCAAGGGCAAAAACAAATGAGTACAGTTAATGATTTAGACATTCTTATATGTGAAATTCTGTTTCAAGAAAAATGTTTAAGTGATAGAATTCCGCCATAGTGAAGAAACCATCCTTCCCAAGAAAAGTTGAAAATTCTGTCCAAGATGAAATGTTTAAGTATAAATTCTGCTCAAAATAAAATTCCAGCCGCAATTTTTCTAGTTTTCCGCCCAGAAAAGTGAACAAAATATTTTTCTTGTGAGACGGAATGACACGGAATTTGCGTTTCCGTCCCTGGTCCGCCCAGAAATCACTGATTCTGTGTCAATTCCGTGCCAATTCCGCCCAGAATCCGTGCCAAAATTTCTTACAGGTATCTGTCTAACTGTGTACATCTTACCAACTTTACAGAGAATATATCAAAGATTTAATGTATGTGCACTAACCGTATAATAAGTATGCAATTGACAGGTTATAAACATAAAACAATATTCAAGTTCACATGAATGTTTATTTTTTTAACAAAAGATCTTTAACCTCAAGGTTACTACTATTACTGTATAAGATAAGGTTACTTGAGAGTCATTGACCTATAAATCGAAACTGCTATAAAGCTATACCGGTAGTTTAAAAGTTTGGTATGTTTTATATCTTAAACTGTATTTATGCATGTCAGGATTTAGTATTTTTGGAGTATATTTTTATATACCGGTATATAACTATGTGATTAATGTGTTATATATAAAGAAGTAGGATATATGTTAGTATTTAAAGGTAATAACATTATTGTAAATATATCAACTGTTTATTCTAAAGGTAAAATGTCTGATCTTGATAATGTATAGAAAAGGTGGCCGACATGTTTCAGTCGAGGTGCCAGTTTCAGTAACCTTTTGAAAAATGCCAATTTTGTAAGCAGGGGTTAAAATTAAATGTTTCTTTAGCATTTAACCTAATGCAGGTTTAAAGAAAATTGACAGAATGAAGAAAGAAAAGGAAAGTGTGTGATTGATATACCATGAAACCTCACTTTTTATGCCCCCCATGTAATGCCGGGGCATATAGTGTTACCCCTGTTCCGTCCTTCCGTTCATTCTGTCATTCCGTCATCATCAGTTTTTCCGTTCATTATCTTAGTAAGGATTGCAACATTCAACTTCAAATTTGGACATATGGATATGTCATGAAGGAAAATAACAGGTCAAGCTTCGAATTTGGTCATGGTTCGGTGATTTTTGGCAGAGTTATGCCCTTTTACTTTGAAATAATATGAAATTTCAGTTTCCGTTCATTATCATCCCGACGATACAACACATTCAACTCAAACTTGACATATGGATATGTTATGAGAAAATACAGGCCAAGTTCAAATTTGGTCAGGGTTTGAATGATTTTTGCAGAGTTATGCCCGCTTTCACGTTTTCGAAAAAATAATATGAAATTTTCAGTTCCATTCATTATCTCCCCAAAGGTACAAACACATTCAACTCAAACTTGAATATGGATACATCAAAGGAATGCGCAGGTCAAGTTCAAATTTGGTTTTGGTTCAATGATTTTTGGCAGAGTTATGCCCCTTTCACTTTGAAAAATAATATGAAATTTTCAGTTTCTTTTTATTATCTCCCCAACAGTACCAACACATTCAACTCAAATGTAATTGGATAATTTTTTTGAAATGCCCAGGCCAAGTTCGAAATTTGGTCATGCGTTCAATGATTTTTGGCAGAGTAATGCCCCTTTTTTTTGAAAATAATATGAAATTTACAGTTTCTGTTCATTATCTACCCAACAGTGTTACATATTCAACTCAAATTTGCATATGGATATGTCAAAGGAATGGGCAGGTCAAAGTTGGAATTTGGCCATGGTTCGATGTTTTTTTCAGAGTTATGTCCCTTTCACTTAGAAAATAAATATAGATACATCTTAGGAATAAGCAGTTTAAGTTTGAATTTGGTCGTCGCGTTGCAATATTTTGGACAAACTTATTTCTTTGAATGTTGGAAAAATTTTGAAACTTTCAGTTTCAGCAACTCTACTTTTTGTGGAAATGTATGTAGCCATTTATTTTGGCTACAAATATGAAATATGCTATTCTCAAAAGGTTAAGACTGAATAATTTCAGTGCTTTGAACATTGTATGAAAATGGTTTGTGTTAACATTGAAAAGTTTTAAGGGCTTTGAACTGCAAATGAAAAAAATAATTGTTGCAAACAAATTTGGAACTAAATATTATAACATCTGAAATTTTGGCTGCATGCGGGGGCATCCGTGGCATGATGACACATTTCTAGTTTAAGCATATATTACTTATTTACATTAACATAAATAGTTGATCTTTTTTTATTAATAGAATAAAAATGTTAAGAACAGACTATTTTTGTTTTCTTTTTATTTGTTGAAATAACTATCAATTCATGACTAGTTACCACCCTTGATGTCTAAGATAATTGGTATTACATGTATTTGCATTATAAATAGGCTATTTACACATTTTTAACCATGCAGGTTATATATCTAGGTATAAAGAAGGTATCTGTTACTGAGATTAAGATATGCCATGTTGGTTGATTTATGTAAAATAAATGACAAAAAAAAACATAACCAAGATAAGATACTAAACCAGATAACATTTAGATTTAAAAAAGTGTCAGTTTATATATATTATCATACACATGATACATCCATGCTAGTTTTGCCCTTCATTGGGATTGGAAATAGAGACATTAAGACAAACTTTATTTATAGTTAGTTATGTTTAATAGTACAAATTTAAGCTTGTATCCCACATGAACACAAGTAAAATGAAATAGAAACAAAAAAAGTGTACAAACCACTGTTAAGATAATTATACATACAAATAAATTCAGGTTGACATTGGTAATGAAATTAGAGCATTTAAAATGAAAATGAAAAAACTACAGTCCAGTATAATAAAGTTGAAATAACAGGATTTTACACATATACATAGTACATAATTCAAGGAATAGATAACTAAAATGAAATTACATAAGATGCACATAAAGCAAGCATACTTTTCATTACTCTATGTTTCAACTTCATTGAAGTCAGATGAACATCTGAGATTATTAGATAAACTATTCCAGATTTTATCTGCTCCAAGAAAAAACTCTTCAACATACTAGGTTTTGCATACTTTGAGGGTGCATTCAATGCATTTCGGAAATGTAAAATTGTACATGCAGTACATACATGTATTAAGTGAATTGTCTTTATCTTTTTCCTTATATTATGTTTGCTAACTGACATTAATGTTAGCTAAAAACATTTATGTTAGCTAAATGTCATTTGTGTTAGCTTAATGTCATTTGTGTTAGCTTAATGTCATTTATGTTAGCTTAATGTCATTTATGTTAGCTTAATGTTATTTATGTTAGCTTAATGTCATTTGTGTTAGCTTAATGTCATTTATGTTAGCTTAATGTCATTTATGTTAGCTTAATGTCATTTATATTAGCTTAATGTCATTTATGTTAGCTTAATGTCATTTGTGTTAGCTTAATGTCATTTTTGTTAGCTTAATGTCATTTGTGTTAGCTTAATGTCATCTATGCTTCCTTAATGGCATTCATGTTAGCTTAATAACATTCATGTTTGCTGGCTAAATGACACTCATGTTAGCTTAATGTCATTTCTGTTTACTAACTGTCATTTATATTAGCTTAATGACATTTATGTTAGATTAATGTCATTTGTGTTAGCTTAATGTCATCTATGTTAGCTTAATGACATTCATGTTTGCTGACTAAATGACATTTATGTTAGCTTAATGTCATTTCTGTTTTCTAACTGGCATTTATATTAGCTTAATGACATTTATGTTAGCTTAATGTCTTTTATGTTAGCTTAATGGCATTTATGTTAGCTGAATATCATTTATGTTTTCTAACTGACAAATTTATTAGCTTAATGACATTTATGTTAGCTTGATGTCATTTATATAAGTTAAATGACATTTATGTTTTTTTTAATGACATTTATATTAGCTTAAGGTCATTTATGTTAGCTTAATGCCATTATGTAAATTGCTTAATAACATTCATGTAAGCTTTTATGTCAGGTTTACTACATGGCCTTTCAAAGCATTTAACATGTTTTAAAGTCTGAGGAAAATGATTTGTAGGAACATTGGTTGACATAATTCATGACTTCCTTTCTAACCTGTGTATTTGCAAATAGTTTATTAGGTTAAAGTCAAACTTGTACAATATATTGGTAGGAATGATATTTTCAAACGTGTCATAACTCTTTATTTATCTTTTCAGATGGAAAATATATTAGAACAATGGGGACCTTTGTGTACCTCAATAGGGGTTGGAACAGCTGTGGCAGGGCTTGCAGCTACATACTATGTTGCCAGTATGCCTGACCCCAATTGTATACCACCAGTTGACTTAAATGACCAGTCCTATCTTCTAGAGGTATATTTCTGAGTCTTCTTTATTTGACAATATGATAATAAAGGTTTGAGGATCATTATAACAGAAATACTTTCTTTACTGCAGTAGAATCATGTAGAAAATAAAGTTTACATTATGAAAGAAATGCTTTTATTACTGTAGAAGAGTCGGGTAGAAAATTAAGTTTACATTATATAACATTCCCAGGGTTATTTGATGATAATGATCAGTGTTTTATTTGTTACAACTCTGAACTACTGTAATAATGCACTACATTAAATGTCATGCAGCATGGATATTTAATGGTGCAGACAAATTGCTGACAGAAATACATGTATTACTTAGGCTAAGTTTAATAACATTGGGTTCCTTGTGTTCAATTTCTAATGTTAACTTTCAAAGTTTTGAGTGCATTGATCTAGAATAATGAACAGTTTGAATTAAAATATTGTCAAACGCTCAGTATGATAATATAGGGTTCATAGATCATAGTTTTTTACCAATTTTAGGATGGTTCTAGAACAAGCAAGCTGGTTCCTAAAGGGGCAGAGTACAAGCCACTTTATGAAGGCATGGAAACCTTCTATGATGTTTTCCAGAGAGGCATTAAACTGTCAGGTGAAATATAAAGCTTTAATTAATATAAACCTTATTTGTACAATTATAAACTCTAGTGTAAAATTATTTAAGATTTTAAGGGAAGTTAACTTTACTTTCAAGATAGCAGTTATTTTGTTGTCGGTTAGTTACAAATGTTACTTAACATCGTTAGCAATAGAAAATAAAATAAAAAAAGAAAAACATATATATTAGTTAATGTTATAATTGTCCTTTTATACAGGTAATGGTCCATTTCTGGGAACACGTTCTGGTCCAAATCAGGAATATGAATGGCTGTCATACCAGGATGTAAGATATTTATCTTAGATTGATTTTATAAATACAATGTTAGGCGATGTTAGCTAGGCGGTATTGTGGAGACTTTATATTATTATATTTGAAGTTCTCTGTCTTACAGAAAGTAAAAAAAAATAGTTACTATAGTTACTATCACATGTACAAAGAACTGGGTCTGAGGTTAAAAAGAAATGTTACAGGCTCAAAGTCAGATCTCAGTTAATTGATTGGTCATAAACTTCCCAAGTATGTACACTGACCAATCACTGTCATAAGATTTTAGACAGAACTATGAAAATGGTTGTATAACCCTGAGGCCAGGTCATCATAAATAGATATTTTAAAAGTACTCTAATTCTAGCACTTATTGTTAGCTGGTTGTTGCTGTTTGGTCTATATTTAGTGACAATCACATAAAACCTTAAGTTGGCTGTTTGTATGATATATCACTTAAAAATATTCCGCAAAATAAATCATGTTTAAATATATTTAATGAATTGAAGAAAACACAAATGCCATTCAGTATAAAGACTGAATAATGATCAATTTCTAAGTTTATGTACTTTCAACGTTTTTTGTTGTTCTTTAATTGACCTTGCTCAATGTCAAAGGATTTCCTTTCATTCTGAATGTTATCTTTTAAGACATGCATATGTTCTGTTGATGCGTTGTAGGTATATGACCAGTCTGTATCACTGGGGTCATGGATGGTCAGTCAGGGAATGAAGAGTGAAGACAAGACAATTATTGGTATCTTCAGTCAAAATAGAAGTGAGGTACGTGACTTTTTTGTGTCACCCCTACAGAGAAGTAATGGCCCTTTAATGATTTGCATTTCAATCTACTCCTCGTATACCACTAATGCAATGAAACTTTACAGGATTGATTGGTAGCACAAGTAGTTGTGCATAGTACATGTAATTTCCAGTTCAATGATTTTGGCTGGGTTATGGCCCTTGGATATAAATCGCATTTTGCCCTGTTAATAATTTTTGTGTCTCCTGCTACACAGTAGCTACAACATGAATTAGCTATCATGAGGTGACACATGTGATCACTAATCAGTCATGTTCTGTAAGTCAGGTTGGGAATTTAGTGTTGTCACAGGTTTACTTGTGAACCCTGTAATATCAGGTGACACTTGGTGCATGATTTCAGCAAGGAGCAGACATTTTAATTTAAACTCTGACCTTCCTTAACAGTCGGTAATTTATTACATTACAGTGGGTAATTTATTACATTACAGTGGGTAATTTATTACATAACGATGGGTAATTTATTACATTACAGTGGGTAATTTATTATATTACAGTGGGTAATTTATTACATTACAGTGGGTAATTTATTACATTACAGTGGGTAATTTATAACATTACAGTGGGTAATTTATTACATTATAGCGGGTAATTTATTACATTACAGTGTGTAATTTATTATATTACAGTGGATAATTTATAACATTACAGTGGGTAATTTATTACATTATAGCGGGTAATTTATTACATGACAGTGGGTAATTTATTACATTACAGTGGGTAATTTATAACATTACAGTGGATAATTTATAACATTACAGTGGGTAATTTATTACAATACAGTGGGTAATTTATTACATTACAGTGGGTAATTTATTATATTACAGTGGATAATTTATTACATTACAGTGGGTAATTTATTATATTACAGTGTATAATTTATTACATTACTGTGGGTAATTTATTATATTACAGTGGATAATTTATTACATTACAGTGGGTAATTTATTACATTATAGCGGGTAATTTATTACATTACAGCGGGTAATATATTACATTACAGTGGGTAATTTATTATATTTCAGTGGATTATTTATTACATTACAGTGGGTAATTTATTATATTACAGTGGGTAATATATTATATTACAGCGGGTAATATATTATATTACAGTGGATAATTTATTAAAAACATTGGGTAATTTATTGTATTACGGTGAGTAATTTATTACATTAAAGTGGTTAATTTATTATATTACATTTGGTAATTTATTACATTACAGTGGGTAATAACAGAGAAAGCTTGTTCAGCATATAGTTTTGTACCTGTGGCATTATATGACACTCTAGGAGATGATGCTGTCACATTCATTATGGAGCAAAGTTAGATTTATTCGATTTTTTGTTTTTGTTTTTTTGTTTTTGTTTTGGGTTTTACGTCACATCGACACAGTATAGGTCATATCGCGACGTTCCAGCTTTACTGGTGGAGGAAGACCTCAGGTGCCCTTCCGTGCATTATTTCAGGCACGAACGGGTACCTGAGTAGAACCACCGACGTTCCGTAAGCTAGCTGGATAGCTTCCTCACATGAAAGAATCCAAAGTCCTTGTCGGGATTCGAACCCACAGCGGTTAGGGGCAAGTGGTTTGAAGTCAACGACCTTAACCACTCGGCCACGGACGCCCCTCGATTTTTTGTTCAACGCCAGTTCAAACAGTATTTCCCATCAAATGATGGTAGTCAGTTACCGTCCTTGTCTTTGATTTTTAATACTTTTACTTAAGTTCTGTTGGATTTGAATGCTATTAAAATCACTGACTTTTTATCACATCCATTACAAGATGCATGCACTAATTCTCTATAGGAGTCTTTTTTCCGCTAGTAAAGCTGGAAAATCACCAAATTAGAATTAAGTAAGACTTAAAACTCTTTTGAAAACACTTACTAAGAGAACCAATAATTTTATCATAAACAAAAACGGTTAAACTTTTGTTAAATACTTCATGGGAAGAAAATCTTTTCCTGACAAGACATTTTTCCAATTTTGCAAATTTTTCTTATATTTTCAGCTGAAATGCCTCTAATTGTTGTTGATTTATCAGAAAAAGTTAATAAATTGTTACAAATGGTTTCAAATGGGCGTGGCAAAAGTCTTAAAACCATCCTTGTGATGAACGGGTTAGACGGGGTGGATCAAGAACTTGCAGCCAAGGTCAAGATCAAGGTTGTTTCCTTCAAGGAGGCCCTGGTAATTTTTTTCTTTGATGTTTACCATAAAAATATTAAAAGAAGTGACGTGCAACAATAAAAATGGGGAATAAAAAACAAAACATGAATTAAAAGGTTTTCGAACAAAACAAAACAAAATATTGAAATGTAAAGTAAATATTGTTTTAAAGGGAGACACAGGCAAAATTCTAATTTCTTAGTTTTGGATTTTTCTTTCATTATTCTGTAAATGTCCTCAAAATGAATACACTAATCAGTCAAAAGAACAAAACATTTCTCCATTTAAAGAATAAAATGGTGTTTTCCTAACTTGACCAGCGTGGGTCAGGTTAGAGCGCTAAGATTTCACAATAGTTGTCACTGTGTACTCTGGAAACGTTAAAGAACATGTCAAATCAACTACTTAGACTTGTTTCAATCATACAATATCCACAATACCTGTTATTGTAACTTCCAGGGTTTGTTCAAATCACACGACTTGTTTTTAAACTATTCGGTGATTCTGTTGGCGTTTAAATGTCGTTCAACATATATAGATATATTTAAGCTTCAAGCCCAAAATATACAGAATTTATACAGAAATTCATGCTGGGACTTTAAGAAATGTCATTTTAGAGTGATTTGAGTACAGAAGATCAATTTTATATTTTTGCCATTATTTTGCCTGAGTATCCCTTTAAGCATAGTTTAACAAATTTCTTGATTTAATTTTTAAAATGATTAACAATACCATTTTTTATTTCCATTCAATGTATAACACAAAATAAATTTATAAAATAATGGTTTTTGTAAACTGTTTTAGTACATTACATTATTTGCATTGACATAGAAACCTATATTATGTCATTCCAGGAAAAAGGAAAATCTGACCTTAGAATTGTCAAGGTAATGTTAAATTTTCTTTGATTTTAGATAATCTTTCATATTATTCTTGGATCAATTGCTGAAAAAACTGTTAAATTTGACTGCCTGTTAAATAAAAAAAGTTTAAATTTAGCGCTTTGAACAACTAGCCACGGAATAGTATGATTTATTAAATACATAGAACATTTGTTCCTTGCTTCAATAAAAAATGATAATTTTGTTGGCTTTAACATCTGTATTTATATTCTCTTCAATCAAGTTAAATTTGAATAAATCAGTTATATATATATTTAACCCTTCTTTGAGGAAGAGCCTATCTAATAATGTAATGTAACTTTTGCCAAACCTTTCTACTTACTATTTTGAAAACCAGTTGTTACTGTTTGTATTTACATGTATATGCTGATGGTCAAGCCATTTCTTTCTCTTTTTCTCTAGATATTTAAGGATTTAGGATGTTTGGGGTAAAGATAAAACTATTAGGATTTTGTGATTGTATCTTTCTGCCCCAGTAGACTGTACTGTATTAAAAATATTGATCGTTCATGTTAATTATTTAATGAACTGTCAAATATCGCTTTTCACTGCATTAAATCTATTAAAATGGCACTGTAATAAATACATATCATAATACACAATGTAAGAATATCATTGTTAATTATTCACAGCCTCCAAGTCCTGATGACATAGCAATAATGTGTTATACCAGCGGAACTACAGGTATTTTGTTTTATTAAATTGAAATGTAGCAAGTCTTTTAAGATATTTTATGTCTGTCCTTGAGACGTAAAATATTGTATCAAAATATATCTCATTCAGGAAATCATTAAGTACCATCATGTAACACTGAGATGTTACCCAGGGAATATGAATATGTTTAAAACAACTGAATACAATTTTCCATTTTAATAGAGAAGAAAAGTTAAGACTTGCTTGTCAAGTAGATTAGTTTTGAAAGATGAAGTTGGCAGGGAGGAGTAAATATTTATTAGTTGTATTAGTTGTATAAATAGTGACCTTGTGACAGAGTGACAGGATAGAAATATCAACTAACACAATGTATAAATAGTTACCTTTTGACAGTGCCAGGATAGAAATATCAACTAACACAATGTATATCTGAACATTGCAGTGATAAATTTATAATAAAAGTTTGTTAATGCTGATATTTCACATTAGTTTATGCAAATATATTTTAGTTTGATTGTGTTGGAAGCTATAAGCGTATTGAAACACCCTCAAATGCCTTCCTGGAACCAACTAGTACCAACCAATGTGTATAAATTGTTGCTCAAGTAAAAAACGGCCAGCTCCTAATGGGGTTTGTACCAAAGCGGCTAACAATCCTCTGATTACTAGTCTGAGACGTTATTTTTTTGGGCCACACAAATTTTTTTCATTAATTGATAATGCTCTCAAAAAAGACTTATCTGAATATTTATTATTTACATACAATTAGAATATGTTTAGCTTTGTGTCATGATATTATATATGTGTATCACTAGATGTCTCACATTTTATAATTCTTCATATATGTTACATGGCTTTCCAGTGGATAATCATGACATTTATATAATCTATATACATAGCTGCAGTCGATTTATTAAAATTAATTTCATTTTTTTTTCTCTAAGGAAGAAAGTTTGTTGTACTATAAATTTCAACATAATGATCGTAAACAGTTTATTTCGCCATATAAATAGTTATTTGCAATGTAACTCTCACCTAATGTCTCATGTTATATACAAACAGCCATTTTGACATAGGGCCATATAACTTGTCCAAAAAAATTTTGTAACTAATTATATAACATTTTTCAGGTAATCCAAAAGGTGTGGTGATTACTTACAGACAGGCTATTGCTCAGATGACTATGATTAGTATCAATGACTATGTAAGTTTAAATGGATATAAACCTATTTCTTATGAAATATGCTTATAAAATTTATCAACAGTAAAACTATATTGTTTCCATAATTTCATGGTCGAATCTCGGCAGAGTTGTAACAGGTTGATTGTCATTTTGGGCATTGCTTTCATTTTCACAGCTTAACATTGGCAATTAAGCAAATGAATATCTATAAAGTTAATTAGTTTACCAATGCAAAAACTTATATTTTTGTCAAAATAATGGGAGGTAATTCATCTTAAATTTTTAGTTTTATGTTAGCATAATTATTATCTTTCTTTGGTTTCAGCATTACAGAAAATTCAATAAAGATGACGCACATTTGTCTTACCTTCCTCTGGCTCACATGTATGAACGTATTGGTCAACAATGTTTGACCATGGAGGGAGCTAAGATTGGATTTTTCCGAGGGGATGTTAAACTGTTGTTAGATGATTTGCAGACGTTAAAACCTACCGTGTTCTTCTCTGTTCCCAGACTTATGAACAGAATCTATGATAAGGTTTGTATACACGTCCGTCTGTACCCAGACTTGTGAACAGAATCTATGATAAGGTTTGTATACATGTCTGTCTGTCCCAGAATATATAATAAGGTTTGTAAACATGTCCGTCTGTACCCAGACTTGTGAACAGAATCTATGATAAGGTTTGTATACATGTCTGTCTGTACCCAGACTTGTGAACAGTATCTATGATAAGGTTTGTATACATGTCCGTCTGTACCCAGACTTGTGAACATAATCTATGATAAGATTTTTATAAATGTCCGTCTGTACCCAGACTTGTGAACAGAATCTATGATAAGGTTTGTATACATGTCCGTCTGTACCCAGACTTATGAACAGAATCTATGGTAAGGTTTGTATACATGTCCGACTGTACCCAGACTTATGAACAGTATCTATGATAAGGTTTGTATACATGTCTGTCTGTCCCGAGATTTATGAACAGTATCTATGATAAGGTTTGCATACATGTCCGACTGTACCCAGACTTATGAACAGAATCTATGATAAGGTTTGTATACATGTCCGTCTGTACCCAGACTTGTGAACAGAATCTATGATAAGGTTTGTATACATGTCTGTCTGTACCCAGACTTATGAACAGAATCTATGATAAGGTTTGTATACATGTCTTCTGTCCCGAGATTTATGAACAGAATCTATGATAAGGTTTGTATACATGTCTGTCTGTCCCGAGATTTATGAACAGAATCTATGATAAGGTTTGTAAACATGTCTGTCTGTCCCGAGACATATGAACAGAATCTATGATAAGGTTTGTAAACATGTCTGTCTGTTCCCAGACTTATAAACAGAATCTATGATAAGGTTTGTATACATGTCCGTCTGTACCCAGACTTATAAACAGAATCTATGATAAGGTTTGTAAACATGTCCGTCTGTTCCCAGACTTGTGAACAGAATCTATGATAAGGTTTGTATACATGTCCGTCTGTACCCAGACTTATAAACAGAATCTATGATAAGGTTTGTATACATGTCCGTCTGTACCCAGACTTATAAACAGAATCTATGATAAGGTTTGTATACATTTCTGTCTGTCCCGAGACTTATGAACAGTATCTATGATAAGTTTTGTATACATGTCTGTCTGTCCCGAGACTTATGAACAGAATCTATGATAAGATTTGTAAACATGTCTGTCTGTCCCGAGACTTATGAACAGAATCTATGATAAGGTTTGTAAACATGTCCGTCTGTACCCAGACTTGTGAACAGAATCTATGATAAGGTTTGTATACATGTCTGTCTGTACCCAGACTTATGAACAGTATCTATGATAAGGTTTGTATACATGTCCGTCTGTACCCAGACTTATGAACAGTATCTATGATAAGGTTTGTATACATTTCCGTCTGTCCCGAGACTTATGAACAGTATCTATGATAAGTTTTGTATACATGTCTGTCTGTCCCGAGACTTATGAACAGAATCTATGATAAGGTTTGTAAACATGTCTGTCTGTCCCGAGACTTATGAACAGAATCTATGATAAGGTTTGTAAACATGTCTGTCTGTCCCGAGACTTATGAACATAATCTATGATAAGGTTTGTAAACATGTCTGTCTGTCCCGAGACTTATGAACAGAATCTATGATAAGGTTTGTAAACATGTCTGTCTGTCCCGAGACTTATGAACAGAATTTATGATAAGGTTTGTAAACATGTCTGTCTGTCCCGAGACTTATGAACAGAATCTATGATAAGGTTTGTAAACATGTCTGTCTGTCCCGAGACTTATGAACAGAATCTATGATAAGGTTTGTAAACATGTCTGTCTGTCCCGAGACTTATGAACAGAATCTATGATAAGGTTTGTAAACATGTCTGTCTGTCCCGAGACTTATGAACAGAATCTATGATAAGGTTTGTAAACATGTCTGTCTGTCCCGAGACTTATGAACAGTATCTATGATAAGGTTTGTAAACATGTCTGTCTGTCCCGAGACTTATGAACAGAATCTATGATAAGGTTTGTAAACATGTCTGTCTGTCCCGAGACTTATGAACAGAATCTATGATAAGGTTTGTAAACATGTCTGTCTGTCTCGAGACTTATGAACAGAATCTATGATAAGGTTTGTAAACATGTCTGTCTGTCCCGAGACTTATGAACAGAATCTATGATAAGGTTTGTATACATGTCTGTCTGTACCCAGACTTATGAACAGAATCTATGATAAGGTTTGTATACATGTCTGTCTGTCCCGAGACTTATGAACAGAATCTATGATAAGGTTTGTAAACATGTCTGTCTGTCCCGAGACTTATGAACAGAATCTTTGATAAGGTTTGTAAACATGTCTGTCTGTCCCGAGACTTATGAACAGAATCTATGATAAGGTTTTGTAAACATGTCTGTCTGTCCCGAGACTTATGAACAGAATCTATGATAAGGTTTGTAAACATGTCTGTCTGTCCCGAGACTTATGAACAGAATCTATGATAAGGTTTGTAAACATGTCTGTCTGTCCCAGACTTATGAACAGAATCTATGATAAGGTTTGTAAACATGTCTGTCTGTCCCGAGACTTATGAACAGAATCTATGATAAGGTTTGTATACATGTCCCTCTGTACCCAGACTTATAAACAGACTCTATGATAAGGTTTGTATACATGTCCCTCTGTACCCAGACTTATAAACAGACTCTATGATAAGGTTTGTATACATGTCCCTCTGTACCCAGACTTATGAACAGAATCTATGTTAAGGTTTGTATACATGTCTGTCTGTCCCGAGACTTATAAACAGAATCTATGATAAGGTTTGTATACATGTCTGTCTGTCCCGAGACTTATGAACAGAATCTATGATAAGGTTTGTAAACATGTCTGTCTGTCCCGAGACTTATGAACAGAATCTATGATAAGGTTTGTATACATGTCTGTCTGTCCCGAGACTTATGAACAGAATCTATGATAAGGTTTGTATACATGTCCCTCTGTACCCAGACTTATAAACAGACTCTATGATAAGGTTTGTATACATGTCCCTCTGTACCCAGACTTATGAACAGAATCTATGTTAAGGTTTGTATACATGTCTGTCTGTCCCGAGACTTATAAACAGAATCTATGATAAGGTTTGTATACATGTCCATCTGTCATGTGGTATGAGGTACCACACACAAGAACTTACATACCACACACAAGAATTTATATACCATACACATGAACTTACATACTACACACAAGACCTTATATACCACACACATGAATTTACATGTAAGAGATAAATTAAATAGAAACTGTATTTTACATTTTTTGATAATTTTTAACAAAATTGTGGACTGAGAAATTTGTTTGTATCTTTTAAGTGTTTTGATATTAAATTTATTTTTGACCTACAGGTGATTGCAGGAGTTAAAGCCAGTAAAGTGAAACAGTTTCTGTTTAATTGGGCAATTTCCTCCAAGGAGAAGGAACTGAAACAGTAAGTTTTCTTAAGTAGAAGAAAATGATGTCTGATTTTATTATTATTTTTCTTCTAAATCTCGAATGAAAATCAACTTTTTTTCTTCAATGGACTGTTACAAATCTTAATCAGTGTTAGTACAGTTAATAAAGTTTAGGGGACAAAGAATATTGAAATGTTGTATTGACGGATGAATTTGTACGAAAAAGCAATGCAAGTTTTTAAAATACCCTAAACTATTTGATTAATTAAAGAAAAGAATTGAATTTAAGCAAGTGTCGAATAATAAATGTTTGAGGACTTGGTCAGATTAGGTAGTCTTACTTTAATGCTTTCCCACCAAAATATTTTAACATCTGCCATTATCGTAGCAAATCGATTATTTCTGGGCATTAGATTATTTACAATCACTCATCCTTTATTGCTATGTACTAAATTACGGCTATAAACGGTTAAAATCTATTGAATACTGAAGATTGTGAAAAATAACATTCTAGAAATAACCAAATTATTACGATATTGGCCGATGTTAGAATTTCTTTAGCAAGAAAGCAATACAGTAATAGTGCCTTAAACTTTGCTTTTATTGGACAGGTATGTAATAAGACGTAACAGTATTTGGGACAAGATTGTGTTTAAGAAGATACAGGCATTGTTTGGTGGTAAAGTTGATATTGTTGTCACAGGTTCTGCCCCACTAGAAGCAGAAGTTTTAACTTTCTTTAGATGTGCTCTTGGTTGTGCGGTATGTAGAAATATTTGTAATTGATTTTCCAATAAGATAACTCTTTGTTAATGTATGCTCTTAACTTTATATTTTATTTACTACTTAAAGTATTTACTGATTGAGGTAACTGTTAGAGGTTTTATATTTGAAACTTCATTCATGTCTTCATGATTTTAATTGTAGGTCATTGTCAAAGATCCATAACTATAGCATGAATATGTAAAGAATTATTCCCCTTGTAAATATTTATAAAGAGGAGGAATAAAATTTATATGAAGAAAACATGCTTGGTTTACTTTGAGTGTGTTAAATGTATATTTATTAGTACTAAAGAGTGAAAGAATATTATATAAAGAACATGGTAAATTTAAAAGCAGACTGCTTCCAGACTTGTGTCAATTTTCATGAAATTACTTTAATGTATTTGAAAGTAAAATATTGTTAAGTAAACAAAGAAAATAATTTACAAATTGCAAACAGCACTTGGAAACCACTTAAATTAATAAAAAGTGGTCAAAATAAGCAAAATAGACTTTACTGTGTTATAAACGCAGTAGAAATATGGTGATAAAGACTTAAAATTAGCCCTCGATCACACATAACATTATAACTATTACTTTTATCTAAAATATTTTACTTTTCTTAAAATCTAAGTACATTTTTCTCAAGTCTAAATTCTTGAAATATTTTGGCTCATCTGGAGGCATGCAGCTTCAGTATTTATTGTTTACATTACAAGGGAGGCAACTATGAAAAATCATATAATGAAGTTAACAAGAGTTGTGTTATGATTATAATTGACTGTATTTTACAGTTTGTAGAAGCATTTGGACAAACAGAAAGTGTTGCAGCAGTAACTATGGGGTTAGTTGGAGACTGGAGTGCAGGTAAATTTAAATGAATAAATGTCATATAGTTGTTAATTACCTAAATGATTTCATTACCCTGCTTACGAATTGGCGCTGATTTGTCATATGATTTTATCCACTGATATTAATCAAATCTGTGGCGTTAGTGTATGTGAGATATCATTTTAGCAG